AGTGCCCTCTGGTGACAAACTAGATTAATACACTAACTGCTGATCTATTTAAAGTGCCAGTTTACATATAGCTTATCTGCAAGGATTCCCTTCAGTGGTTGTTCATCCAAATACTGCCAGGCCATAACTGCTAAGTTTGTGATATCAGTAGAAAACTAACTTTAAAGATACAATAATAGAATTTACAAAAAATGATTATTCATGCTTTTTTAATACCTTGAAAATACAAATCTCAGAATCTCTCTTGATTAGTAATCAAAACGTGTTATTGTACAGGACTAGTGGGTCCAAGTTACTATACATACTGTATGTGTAAGTACATTTTTTAAATGCATATAATGACACTTGGCATTTGGTTCTTCCTTTCTCCCCTGGAAAACAGAAACAATCAGGTATAGTTGGTGACTTTTCAACTTCCTGTTTACCATTGTTACACATGACTCAACAGTATTTATTTCATATGACAAATGGTTCTTTCCTGGGACCAAATACCCTCTCCCAGGTGTTCTCCAATCTGCTCAGGAGAGATGTGAGAAAATCTATTAATACTGTTGTGTGGAACATTGATTGTCTAAGATGTGCCCTGATGAGACTGTGTTGTTCGTCTGATTGTTCATGTGTGCCAGCTTTTCTCTGTGCCACCATCCAGCTCAGATACATTAGGAGATGTCCTGTGCATGAAATTACTGCTGCCTATAGGCAATGAGAGGAAGCTTTTGTATGTATTCTTGCGTCAGAAAAAGTGGTCTCAAACAAGTCTGCCTATTGCAGCGATTGATCATTTGGATTTTCTGGAGATGTGCGTGAGCCTATAAGCGATACCAGTGCTGCCAATAGTGGAAAATTAATAACTAGATCTAAAAAAATCAGTGCTTACTTTTCTCCACAACGGCCTAGCCGGTGTGCTGCTTCTTCAGCTACAGAAGTCCCTGAGACCACTCTTTAAGGATTTCTGCTGTCATGATACTTCTTTAAAAAAAACACAGGTAAGTTTTTTTGCCAGCTGCACTAAACACTGCCCGGTTGAAACATAAGCAAAACCAAATACTTGCTTTTATAGTTATTTCTGAGCAATACATTGGCCTTTACTTCAAGCTTTTCATTGCATTGCTTGGGCTTTTTGTGATTTCCTTCCCTACCATTGCTTTTAATTTTGGAAATTGGAGGTTTCATTCTCTTCATTTGATAGATTGCAAAACAAATTGTGCTGTATTTTATAGTCCTCTTCACTGACACCTGATGGGCCACTGAGTGATACTTCACAATCTTTGCTTCACAGTCCATCACTGACTGACACTACCAAAGTATTTACCTTTGATTTTTAGCATGTTTGTGCATTTCACTTTACTTGGTATTGTGGCATACATGAAGATTAGTTGACTGTTTGGATGTGCACTATCTCTCACATGTATAAAACAAGTATAATTGACCATGTATGTGTACTATTTTTTTGTTTAACTGATTTATTAACTTTGTGTGTTATAACCCAAAAAGAATAAAAATAACCCAAGAATACTCTACATTCTTCCAAATAAAAAACCCTAGTTAGAAATGGACAAATAATTTATTGTTTTATGCAGCCTTAATTAATCAGGCAATATTTTTGATTGTGCTACTGTCATCTTTAATGTGGTTGTCATACCCTTTCAATGTCTGTGACAATTCAACCAAGTAAGCACTGAATATGTACAGTAACTTCAATATCTTATAAAATGTTTTTTTATAATTGTCTGTAGAGTTGATTCCTCTGTGACAGTCTTTCATTGTCTTTTGTCTCTTTCAGATCCAGCGTAGAATCAAGTTAGTTCTGGGGCGAAGACAATCTTCCCTGTCGGGTCATCTTCTAAAAAGAATTTTGCCATATCGTGTTTTTGGAAACAGTGTTAGCCATATGCTTTTATTTTTATATGTGCAATATAAAAATACCTCTTCTGCTTTAAAAGAAATCCCTGCTTTTGTGCCACCAGCTCTGTTGCCTGTACAATCGGGACAAAATCTCTTTTGTCCATAATATTTTGGATTTTCATTGGATTCAAAATTTAATTAAAACATTTTACTGTTCTGTTTTTTGCCAAAGCTAGTATACATTTTGGATCTATGAAAGCTGTTATTTGAATTTTTTTTATGTTTGTTTTTTATGAGGAGCTGTTTTTACTTACTTCTGAGGCTGTTTAATTGTTCTTATAGTTACAAATGATCTACCAGTGGTGTTCTGTAAACTGGTAAGAGCACATCTGTTCAAAAAAATCCTTATGGGGCAGAGGAGGTGCAGCGTCTGAAGAATATATCAGATTATAAAGGTGTTTTATGGGCAATGTGGAATCCGGTAAAATGTTTAAAAATATATATTTTTGTTGAAGTACATGCTGTAATAAAACCTTTTGAATCACAAACCCTTTTTAGAAGTTCAGTCCATAATAGTTATTAATTGTATTAATATTAGTAGTATAGTTGTCTCTGTATACAGTAGCTCTGTTGCAATTAATACTGGAAATGTCTTTGGTAAACTGGCGCCTCGGTATCATCTGCTCTAGTGACTTGCCTGATTTGCCAATTTGCCTTAGATTCCTGAACTATTTACAGGTTTATGTAAAAGATATGTCCATTAATCCTGCAAAGCATATTCCAATGCTGTTTGATGGCATTACAAAATATGTCCTAACAGTGTTTTTTTATAGCAGATAAATTCAATACTTTTATATGATCTCAGTGGAATGTCTTTTTGCATTATTTGAAAATGCTTCTTCTGACCTTTATTTTATGTAATAAGGAAATCTACATTTCCTGGCTAATTTATTCTTAGAGGTTGCTTCCTAATTTTCTCGAACTGTTCTGCCTTTGCCTTTGCGTAGTAAGTCATTTTACCACTAGGTGGTGCAACATGAAAATAGCTGAAGAACTGCTGAACAGCAGCAGGAGCTGACAAAAATAATGAAACTCAAACTACACCATGAGCTAGAAGGTCTTGTAACTCAATTGGAAATTTTTTTTTGAAACTCGATCTGATCCAGGACGTGCAATGTGTGCAGTATTGCTGATAAGGTCTTGTGTTTCACGTTTGCTTTTCGACAATATCTGCTCATTCTGTGATTCAAGAGGCATCAGTTGGCACAAAGTAATTACATTTAGCAGGCAATAAAAGTCATGAATCTCCTAGGATTACATTAAATGTGATACAGACATCAGTTAGCACAGCCAAGACAGATAGGTAAAGACAAAGGTTAAAAATGTCTGGAGAGAACAATGCAAGGTGACAGAACCAGCTGGTGCCACAGTTATAAGTGGATCAATGCTTTATTAGGGGTTTGCTTTTATTTTTATTTTTTATTTATGTGGTTCTTGAAATCATTTTAAATGTTGTGCTGTTGTAATAGATGATCTGCTATTTATTGTCCTACAGAAACAAACTAATTAACAATACCAAGCAGATCTTCTCAGCATCAGTAATGCAGCAACATTAGTACTGTATTTACATTAATGCTTAGGAAACTTTTCTGATCTTATGTGTTATGTTAAAATATTAACATAATTCAGTTTCAAATAAGTCTGCAGCTTAATTTTAATTCTTTAGTATTTGGGCCGGTTTTAGAATTTTTTAATTTAGTAGCTTTAGATATTAATCAAAGACCTCTCTTAAGTACAATCTCAGGTAGAGTTATGACCAAACATTAAAAACTGATATGTTGCCATAATTATGAAGTAGTGGATTCATGTTGATATACAGTATGAACGTTTCATACTTTTTGCAATGCAGCATTGAAATTGAAGTGATACAAACAAAACAGGAAGGATGTCTGTTAGCACAACTGTGTAGGAGAGGTGGGAAATTGTGTATTGAGTACGACCTCTTTGCCTCCCACAGCGGCTGTAAACAGGACTCGTGTGCAGTTGCCCTGGTGAACGTTCTTGTAGGCTTGAGTTCATCTCGATCACATTGACACTGATGCAGAAAGGACGCTGCGCAGCATTTGCTGTGACAAATCCAGGAGAAGGGGCAGCCCTGTTGGGATCACTGGGGCCAGATACCCCCTGGCTAATTAGATACCAGGTCTCAGTTTGACATCAGAGACAAGACTCTTCCCATTGAGGTGTTCTCTGTGTTGAACAGAGGCCATAGATACTGCACATGTTTAAAAGGGGTAAATGTATTAGAGATGGTTTTGTCCTACAGCATAGTAGTAAGGCTTAAGTACACACACTTAAAATCTGATATATGCCTGAATATCACATTAACCACGCTGACTACGGTAATGATTAATTTTTCAAAACCGTATCCCATTTTGGACAAGCATCTAAGTTGGAAACTTTGAACTTACTATGTGTATTGGACATTAAGAAAACAGAAAACATTATTAAGAGCCTCATCAGTCTACATTAAACATGACGTAGGGCACAGTAGCTCCACTCTGTGCCAGATGCCCAATGTAACAGGATCCCAGTAAAGCGAGCTGTTGGTAAATATCTTAGTATTTCAGGAATTACAGGGACATGTTGCCTACTGTGGTATGTTAGAACCATTTTGTCATTCGCTAAACCCCTTCATGTTCAGCTTGAATAGACCTAAGCACTGTCCATGCTAGTTTACTTTTTAGAATTTAGGACGTTAAGGAATATTTTACAAATCAATATTTAAGAAAGAGAATTCATGGATTCTCAAAGGCAATGATACAAACATAGTCTCAGAGGGTTGTCTGTGCCACTAAGAGGAGTGTATTTCTTCTTCTTCTTGAAATCCTTCAGCACATCTGCACATTAACACTATTGGCTGTACTTCTAAGTGTTATTATACTCATTTTTTAATAGAAAAAAGGGTTTTAAAAGAAATAAACCAACTCAGGTTTTAGATGAGAATGAGCAGAAATGAACATTTGTACAGAGTGTACAGTTTTGTTAATACCGAAGTATGTCTGCCTGGAAACAGCTTTTCTGGTAACAACAGGGTAGTAGTTTGCTATAGGAGCCACCACCAATGAAGATGTACCCTGTGAAAAATGCCTTTGTAATATTGTCTCTAAATTTATGGAAGATATTGTGCCAGCTTCTAAAGTTTTTGAATGCATTCCGCAGTGTGTAAAACATTGAAGTTATGTATTTCAGTTTAGTGTTTATATTCCATGTTAGACATTTTCATTCTTTAATAATGGTTAGTTCATGTTTGTGAAAAATAATTGTAAATGTTGTTTTTTTTTTCATTTTTAGGAAATGTGATTTTAATGTCAATAAAGTCTTTTTAAACATGTGACATGTTTTTATCCTTTTCACACCTAAATGACGTTTCTTACTAAATAGCTGCAGTGATCAGTTTTATATTGTTTTGCTATTGTATCTGAATTCCTGTTAATTACACTACTATTGTTAGTTCCATTATGATCTAACGTACATATTTGTCATTCACAAACAAAACAAAATCCATTATTGTTGCAGAAATAAAAAAAAAATATTTAAGGATTTTTCTTTTCTTTTAATATGTCAGCATTTGCCAACCAAATGAGAAACTCCCAACTAGAGAAAGGGAGAAAATTGATACCGTGGGTATATTTCTACATAATTTAGATTAAATAACATTAAAGAGCAAAATTAGATTCCTCTCTGTTGAAAGATGTCAGATAAACCCCTTTGACTTTTTTAGTTTAAACCTTACCACTGTTATTGCTAGGAAAATGAAAATTTGCATAATTCTGTTTTAGGTGAGGGTTTTGAAATATGTAATCGAAAAGAAAGTAAGAAAAGTAGCTGAGGCTGTATCTCTGCACCTCTGCTCACTTCTGACTCAATGTCCCTGAAAAAGGAAAATGTGTTAGGGCAGACCTGTGTGTTAGCCAGTGCAATCCAGATCAAGGTGCTTTTTATCTCACCATGTTTATTGCAAAGAAATTAGTATTTTTCTTAAAAAAGAGCTCCTAGAGCACCTCATGTCGCTCGAGGGCCTGACTGTTCCTTGTGTTTTTTCCTCCTGAGCAACTAATTACTTAATTACTCATATGCTTCATTGACCACATAGAGGCCTTTCCTTGTTCTTGAGAAGTTGTAATTGTAGAACAATCTGTAAAACCTTATGGATAGATACCATGGAGGACCAGAGTGGGGTCCCCTGCTCTAGACACATATACAGGACCTTTTCATCCTAAAATGTTCTTTTCAGTTAATAAGAGATTGTGATATTTTGACAGATCCTGATTCCTGTGACCACAAACTTTTCTTGTAGCATTTGTGGATAGATGTACAACAGCAGCATGTTATAAAGGACACATTTTTAACATAGGTCTAATAGACCGTTTGACAAATTTGTGTTTTGTAGGTTGAAAAATGAGGAGGCTTATTCGTCGGACACTGACACAAGCCCTCACTGGTGTGGGATCTCTGTGTCTCAGATACCCACTGCTTCCTCCGAGTCTGGCACCACTGTGAAGTCTCTCATTAAGTCTTTTGACTCCGCACTACAGGGTAAGATGCCATTCATTTTGCCTGCCAGTTAAAAATATATATCTGATTCTTTTCTTCAACGTAGGAGTGGGTGAACACTGAACAATTTTGTGCGTGCCTTATCGGCTCATCAGTAGATTCAGGAACTGATGGGTCTGAACTGAACCTAAACAGCTCATGGTAACTGGGATCTGGGTTTAAGCAAATAAGCAAATTTGTAATGAGATTTAAATAATGACAGTTGAAAGTAAGATTTCACTAATAGCAGGGTACACAAAGTTATGGGAAGTTATATAAATATACTAGTATAATGAATGAAGTAGTGCGTTTGTAAAGCTGAAAAGATCATGGGAGATGAGGCATGAAAGGATCATTGTTTATGATCGATAGCAGCAGGTTTTGTCCCTTATACTTCATCCAAAGGAAAATATCAATCTTTCAAAAGCACGTACATTGCAAATTAATTGCAATGAAGTTTCTATGCAGCTCTTAGGATGACTCACATGATAAACGTGAAGGGCCCTGCATTGTGTAATTGCAAACCACACCTGAAATGCTGGAAAACAAGCTACACGGTTACTTAGTGCCATCCAGAGGTTGCT